TCCTGACTCCTTGAAAACATCAGAAGTGTTGACAACAAAAGACTCCCACTGGTGCCTGGCAATGACAGGCAAGGGCAGGTGGTGGCCACCCCCACTGGCTGAGGCATAGCCTCTCATGCCCACCCCACACGCACCCATGATGCCTCCCTGCTTGGGTGCCCTGCAGGCAGGGAGGGTCCCGCCATGGACCACCACGCCTTGTTCTCTCTGCCACTCAGAGGCAGTCTAGACATACATTTCCGGATCAAAGTCAGCCCTGAGAGCCACAGTTTATTCCTGCCTTGGCCTCCACACAAACACAAAAGCCTCCTCCCCATTTACTAAAGCCAAAGAATGCCAGGATTAACCCATAATTGAAACTTTTGAAAGAAGAGCTAAAGGCAGCTTTAGCCTTAGCATTCCTCGGCTCCTCATTAAAACGGGGTTTTTTTTGTGACTCGGGGACAGCTGGAGACACGTGACTGAATCCAAAAGCTCACGAGAAAGATGCCAGCCTCAAGGATACAAGACAGGCCCGTGGGATACTTGATGTCATCAGACTGGAGGGCAGGAGTGGTGGGTGTTCCAGCCACAGCTCAATGGCAAGGACGCCTGGGCCCTCAGGAGCGAGACAGTGGATGATCATGGTCAGGGCCAAGGTTCCACTGGCCCCAGGTGAGCCTAATTCCCAGGCTCCAAAGCAGAACCAGCCAAGAAACCGGCATAGCCCCGGGGCCGGCTTCCACACACCACGTGAGCCAGATGCTCTGCTGTGTTGGCTGCTCCCTGGGGTACACACTGGCTCTCTCATGAGGGTTCACTACAAGGGCTGCCATCTCCTCCAGACTGAATGGTGTGAAATTGTGCAGAATGTGCTTAAAGGGGCTTCAGAGTCAGAAAACATGGAGCCCTGCGAGGCATCTCAGACAGTATCTGTGCCAGGTTTCCCAATAGTGACTGCTCTTCACAATCAACTGGAACACGTTCAAAATACAGACTCTGAGCCTCCAGATTGCACCTCCTCCACCTTAACCCCCAACACTACACACAGTGCTTCTCCTGAGAAATCAGGTTGGGGAACCACTGATGTCATTCAAACTCTTCACTTCCGTTTCTGAAGTACAATTCTAGGGTACGTGACTTTCGAAGGTCACATAGCTGGTTTAGCAGGATTGAGGTTAGAGTACAGGTCTTCTGAATATAATCCAGGGCTTTTTCTACAGCACATCATCTCCTGGATGTGCCCATTGAAGTGGCCGCCAGATGACCCCAGCAGTTCTGGTTGAGGAAGACCGTAAGAAGCATAGTCTTTGTGTATGGAAAGCAACCCCAGATACTTTCCCCAGTATTGGCTTCCATGGTGGTTTATAACTCCCGTGTCTTAGTCTCAGTGTCACCTGGGCAGGAGATTCTGCTTCTAGCTCTGTAATTACCCCAGTTTCACTTGTCCTTTGAGAGGTTGGGGAAAGAACTGTACATATGTGTGTAGATTTCTCTGTGCTTCAGTTTACCCCTATGGAAAACGGAGAGAATGGTGCCACCCTTATGTCTGCTTCTTTGGAGCTCTGCAGACCCAGTGCATGGCCACACAAAGGCATCCTGTGATCCCCTAGGCGGAGAAGAAGCCTTCTGTACCCACACAGAACTAGTCTTAAAGTCAAGGCTGCTTTTGCCACACTTCTTTTTTTACTGAAATGTAGTTGATTTACAACGTTGTGTTAGTTTCTGGTGTACAGCATAGTGATTCAGTTATACATATACATATATATATTCTTTTTCATATTTTTTATTATAGGTTATTATAAGCTACTGAATGTAGTTCCCTGTGCTATATAGTAGGACCTTGTTGTTTATCTATTCTGTATACAGTAGTTTGTATCTGCTAATCCCAAACTCCCCACTTATCCCTCCCCAACCCCTTTCCACATTGGTAACCATAGTATGTTTTCAATGTCTATGAGTATTTGTTTTGTAAATAAGTTCATTTGTGTCATTTTTTAAAAATTCCACATATAAGTGATATCATGATATTTGTCTTTCTCTGTCTGACTTGCTTCACTTAGTATGATAATCTCTGGTCAACCCATGTTGCTGCAAATGGCATTATTTCATTCTTTTTTATGGCTGAGTAGTATTCCATTGTACATATATACCACATCTTCTTTATCCAATCATCTGTCGATGGGCATTTGGGTTGCTTCCATGTCTTGGCTCTTCTAAATAGTGCTGCTATGAACATTGAGGTGCATGTATCTTTTCAAATTGGAGTTTTCTCTAGATATATGCCCAGGAGTGGTATTGTTGAATCATATTGAAACTCTATTTTTAGTTTTTAAAGGAATCTCCATACTGTTTTCCACAGTGTTTGCACCAAACTGCATTCCCACCAACACTGTAGGAGGGTTCCCTTTTCTTCATGCCCTCTCTAGCATGTATCATTTGTAGATTTTTTTAAAAATTGAAGTATAGTCCATTTACAATGTGTCAATTTCTGGTGAACAGCCTAATGTTTCAGTTATACATATACATATATATTCATTTTCATATTCTTTTTCATTATAGGTTAGTACAGATATTGAACACAGTTCCCTGTGCTATACAGAAGAAACTTGTCGTTTATCTATTTTATACATTGTAGCTAATATTTGCAAATTTGAAACTCCCAATTTATCCCTTCCCATGCCTTTTCTCCCTGGTAACCATAAATTTGTTTACTATGTCTGTGAGTCCATTTCTGTTTTGTAGATAAATTCATTTGTGTCTTCTTTTTTCATTTTTTAGACTCCACATCATTTGTAGACTTTCTGATGATAGCCATTCTGACAGATGCGAGGTGATACCTCGTTATAGTTTTGATTTGCATGTCTCTGATAGTTAGCTATATTGAGCATCTTTTCATGTGCCTATTGGCCATCTGTATGTCTTCACTGGAGAAATGTCTGTTTGGGTCGTCTGCCCATTTTTTGATTGGGTGGATTGTTTTATTTTTATTTTAAATAATTCTGATGTCAGAATATCATTGTGACAACTTTGGCTACCCTGCATGCCTTCCAGGAAGGGCTACCTTCTCCTCTTGGTTTCTGGAGGGCTAGTAAAATATTTCCTGTGGGTGATCTTGGTAGGGACCCCAATTTTGAAGGACTAAACAAAATAAAAAATGAAATACTACTACAACTAGCAAAATAGCTAGCACTGAGTTGTTACTGAATGCCAGGGACTCTGCCAAACATTTTACATGCATCTAATTCTCACTGTGGCCCTATAAACAAAGTGTTATGAGTCTTCTCATTTTACAGATACGGAAAATGAGGCTCAGAAAAGCTAAAGAACTTGCCCAAGATCACATAGCTGCTAAGTGATGAAGCCAGAATTCACACCCACATCCTGCAGTGTCCAGGGGCAAAACTCTGGTAAAGGGGGTTGATGATGGGTCACTGTTGTCATGAGCTTGACTTTCTACGTGGCTCTGCCTGGTGCTTCCTAGTGGGATGTCGCACCCTGATGTGGCTTGAGTCAAGGGCAGCTCAGGCGCTGCAGCTGTGACTGTCTGCTGGGAGGGTCACAGCTCCCTCAGTTCGGGGACCGCCTGACCCAACCTGACCAAATTAGAGCAACTAATGGGTGTGACATAATTTGACATGTACATTGTTAGCTGAACCCCAGGGGAGATGATTTTAAATAGAGACAATATCGTGCCGGGAACTATTTGGGTTACGGAGCCCTTATTTTCTGACTCTTGCAGGAAAAAAGAATTGTGTCAGGATAAACTGAAAAGCCCCAAGAAGCTGCTCCCAGGTCAGGAGAGCAGCAGGCTGGCTGGATTGGGAGAGATTCTCCCTGGGAGTTTCAGGGACTTCACCCTCATTTCCTAGCATTTTATCCCCCAAACACTTTCAAAACCCAAGTTAAGAACCACTAACTCTACCCACTCTTCCCCCAGAGCCTCCCTAACCAGGGGCGTTCAGAACCCCAGTCAAAATCCAGAAAACCAGGCACAGCTTGAAGCCCCCACTTGCCCTCCATCCTGCTTTCCCTTTCTCAGCAACCTACCCAGGGGCTGGGCTGGGGGCCCACACAGGTGCCCTCTCTCTGGGCATCGCCCAATGCCCAACACCCAGTCACAGCAAGACTTACTCGTCCTTTTCCCATGCCTTCATACTTGCTTCCTGACCTTCATAAAGAGGATGTGCGTCTCTGTGTTCCAGGGCCACTGATCTTAATGGCTTAGTATGGGCTCATCCTCTCAGCAAGACCTGCTGACTGTATGACTCATAACCAGCAACCAAGAAATGATGACTGTTGAATTAATGAATGACAGTGAGAGTAGCGAAGTTACTTTGGCAACCCCATGCCTTAATCCCCACCCCATAAGCCTCATTTTGGCTTTCGGGATAATACAAATGAATTTGGGAGCAAAAAATTTTTGTCTTTTTAAAAAACTGAAGCTCTTGAAATAGTACTATGTGGAAAAGATGGCCAGGAGAGATCCAGGGCACATGGTGGCCTCCCCACATGCACTTCCTTTTTCCCCATCCTAGCAGGGTCACCTACTTCCCAGCCATGCAACTGGAAGAGATCAACCTAACTAAAGTCATCCAGTGGGTTCCACTGTCCAACTCACCCCAGATACAGTGATTGGTTTGGGGACGGCCACCTGGTCCAGATATAAGGGCTTTTGGGATCTTGTGATCATTAAGTGAGACAGTCACAGAATAAAACTGTGGGAGAGTAAGACCTGGAAGGACATTGGGTCTTCACTGACTTGTCCAGCTCCTCTGTCTGGCCTTATCTAAGCTCAACCAACCTCTGGACTTCTAAATTACATAAGCAAACAGACTCTTTGTTTAAGCCAAATAAACATATAATATATAACCCCTTGATTCCTTTTATGATTGAGCTCAGAGACTATTTTGTCAAGTTATATCACCTTTGTTTTACAGCTTACTTAACTTTATAAAAAATAAACATACCAGAAAGCAAACAAATAAAGTCTCTAATTTTTTACTCTTTGTTCGAAGCCTTCCAAAGATCCCTAAGCTTGTGATGTCCCAGATGAATGAGGAAATAATGGTGGTTTCAAGAAGATAGAAGCTTATTTCTCTCTCACACAAAAGAAGGCTGGAATCTGGCTGGTGTGAGAGCTACAATGTCATCAAGGTTCCAGGTTTCCTCCATCTTTTTGTTCTGCCATCCTTAGCATATGGCTTCCATCTTCAAATTCACTTCATGGTCCAACTAGAGCTCCAGCCATCACATTGATCTTCCTGTTCCAGGAAGGCACAGGAGGAAAAGAGAAGGGAAAACAATGAGTATGCCAGTAGTCTCCCCCTTTTTGGTTGTCTTCACAGAAGACCACCCAACAACTTCTGCTTATTTCTCAATGGCCAGCCCAGCTGCAAATGTGGCTGACAAGTGTAGTCTTTCAGCTGGACACACTGTCATCCAATTTAAAATCTGGGTTGTGTTGTGAAGGAAAAGGGGGAGAGTAGATACCGGGTAGGCAACTAGCAATCCCCCCCCCCCCCGCCTTAACAACTGAGCCCAGCTTCTGTGTTCAGTTCTGTTGCTTGGTACCTGCTCCTCCAAGGAGACCCCATGGTTCACGCTGTAATTACTCTCTCCGAAGACCCTTAACCTCCCAAGCTGGTCTCCCCCCACTTCACCCACCAACGATCCCCTGACCAGCATCTTCTGATTTATCCAGTTAAGCAGTTCCTGAGCACCTGCTGTCTTTTATTAGAACACATCAATCTTTCATTAGAATCTTGGCTTCAGTTTAACTCAAACACACTTGGACTTCTTCTCTGCCATGCCTAGTCAGATCCCACTCATACTCACCCTTCTGGATTTACCAGTCTTTCCTTAGAGCTGTGTTCCTCCCAACACAGGTCTGCTCTTCAGTAGCAGTTTCTAACTTCTTTCAAGCATTAAGGTTCTCAATCCCGTGGGCCGAGGGCCTAGGGCAACGAGGACTACGGTTAGCAACAGCAGCTGAGTAGGGGTTGCTCTCCAAACCTTCAAGGAGGACGGGGCATGCTTTTGCCTGGGGACAGGTGACTGAGTGAGGCCAGGGCAATGACTTCTTTTTCAATTGTCCCAAGGCCTCTGGCCCCTTCTTGTACATTTCAGACCCCGTAGACAGCATCACATGCCTCAGTAAGCAATGAACAACGCACACAAGGCAAAGTCAGACAACAGTAATGAAGTCAATTATTGTCTTGCTAGAGACAAGACATCTGGTCCTCGCTACCTCACCTGCACAGAAGCAGAAAAGAAGAAAAAAAAATCAATGATAATGCTAACCAAACATGCTACCTTGAGTTCTCATATAAAGAACACCTTTCAAAAGTATCTAGTTCTTTCACTTGAATTTTCCCATTTTGATTTTAATCATATATTTAAGGCTATTGTAACTCAAAAATGTACGTTCTCTTAGAACGTCTTTTCAAATAGAAATATCATTAGGCAAATGTGAACAATTATCCCCAACTGGATTTTTTTAAGTTAAAGTCTTCAGAGGAATAGATAAATTATGTTTTAAATCATTGATTTCAAACAAAATCTATGAGACATAATATTATAGGTTTAACCAAGAGGGCTTGACTTTGGATTTAGAAAGTTTGTTAATTGATCTAGTCATCCCTCTCTTTTTTATAAAATTGAAGTACAGTTGATTTATAAGGTGGTGTTAGTTTCAAGTGTACAGTAAGGTGATTCAATTTTTCATACACACACACATATATATATATTCTTTTTCAGATTCTTTTCCACTATAGGTTATTGCAAGATATTGAATACGGTTTCCAGTGCTATACAATAGGTCCTTGTTGTTAGTCATCTCTTTTATTAAAGCTATCCATATATTTTTTATAATTATAATAAGGACCAAATGAGAAACAGTGAGAAGGTCTGAGCTCTAAGAGGCTCTGTTACTGTATTGAGAGGGCAGTTAAAGAAATTCCAAAGGAATGCGTTGGCCTATTGCTGCTTTTTAATTTCCAACTCTGCTTTTTAATTTCCAACAACTGACAGTGACAATTCCAAACATTTCCCATGTATTATTTGGATTAAGCAGAGCTTGATTCTCCAGGGAAAACAGGCAGCATTAACAACAACAACAAAAAGTGCCTCTTGCTGAAAAGACAGTCTGTACTCAGGTGTCACACTGCCGTCTGATGACAAGATCCCCGTGGAGAAGCAATGCTGGCAGTGACTTCAGTCCCCTAGGAGCACGGTCACCAGTACCTGAGGCCCTTGGGAGCACCGGTTGGATCTCAGAGGATGTGTCTTTTTGGTGTTGGAGAGGACACACTGAGGTGGGCAGATGCTGAAACTGAAAGAACTTACTTCAGAAAGGTCATTTGAAGGAGATTTTACCCAGGAATGACATTCTCCTCTGTCTTGGAGTAGAAGACCAGCCAGGTCCTGGCAGCCCTACAGCCTGGGCCTTGTTCCAGGGCTGCAGTCCCCTGACAGGAGGCTAGGCAATGTGACCCTGGCGGCACAGAAACCCTGGACAGGCCTCTGCGGCTGGGGGCCTGAGCACCAGCTCACTGATGAGAAATTGCGCTGTGCGGGGAGACGTTGCCCTCCCTGGGCTGTCAGAGCCTCCCTTGTTACTTCCCCCCAGTATACTGCAGCCTGATTCTCTCTGTCCTTCCTGCGGTAGCACTTTGTTGTGAGGATCCTGAGCCACAAAACAAAAGGGGCACTTGTATATCATTTTACACAAGAGGCGTAGGTCCCACACAACTAGCTGTGTGATGTTGGGCAAGTCACTTGACTTCTCTGTGCTTTAGTTGCTGCAGCAGTAAAGTGGGGATTCTGATCGCTTCACCTGACACGGCTGTTAAGCGTTCAGCAAAATCTTCTGGGAAGCGCTGAGGAATAGTGCCTGGCCCACAGAGCTTCATAAAACTGGCTGTCCCCACAAATGATAGGGGAGCAGTTTCTCCCCTGGTTTCCACTCCACCAACGCTCGTTTGCCTCTCCCAACACAGGGCAAAGATGATAAGAAAGTGAAATGTCTCTCTTGGTCTCCAAATCCTTTAATTCCATCAGTAGTTCTTGAGATATCAAACGATATCTGTGTGTGCCTGTGTGTGCATATAGATTCCTTTAATTCTATAAAGTCTATGCTGATTTGGTTTCATTTTAATCTAATGGTGAAAGGCTATGTATTCAACTGTTAGTACTTTGGTTTCAGGAACATGTGGATAAAATGTAACTAGCGTTATCTTGGTTCAAATTCCTTTTTTGTGACCAACTGTTGTCTCAATGAAATTTTGCAGGGTTTTTGTTTGTTTTTTTCTGAGTTACAGCAGACAGTAAAATAAACACATCCAGGCCTTCTCACACTGAGATAGGCTGATGCCAAATTCGGTCTATGGAGGCCTCCTCTTGGCTTCTCTGGTCACCATGCAGAACAGATTTTCATGCACATTGAAGACAGTCCATTAGTTCTTGGCAAGGAGAATGAAATTTTCAAAGCTGCTTTCTCCAACAAGCACACCCCACCTCAGCCCCTTCTCATACACAAAATCTTGCTGAAGCGGAGAGGCTCTCCCCCACCTGCAGAGAAGAGAGGGCAGCTCCATCTTCGGTCAGCCGGCTACAGCCTTGGCAATTGTCACCAGCATGATAGCCCTGGGCTTGGCTCAGTCCTTAAATTCCCAAGGCACCACCCAGATTAACATCTCTCCTCCCCTCTCAGGAAAGAAGCATTTTTATTTCAAAATCATATATAGTAAGAGCTTTGGAAACTAGTTTGCAGACTTCTCTGTTTCTGAGGAAGTCATGTCCATTCACATCCAAAATTTTCCCTCAGTGCCTCAGGTGTTGTGTTTACTGAGCGTCCGGGCTCTCACAGGGCAGCCACAAAGGAAACAAAGAAGTTGTGCCTCTATCTGCTACAGTGGAAATGGAAGCCATGATGATACGGGTCGAGCAGAGTTCTCAATGGAATCTTTAGGCTGATTCTTAGGAGGAAAAAGCCTGTAGGTTCCTGTTAGAGTTCCAGCTGCCACTGGGTGTGGGTTCCTTGACCAAAATGTACTCTGAGCAAGGTTTCCTTCCCGCAAGGGGGATGAGCACTGTCGTGAAAGGTACTGAGGTGCTAAGGATCAATATTCACCAGCAACCTGCATTTTGGAGCATGGTTACCATGGTAACATCAGCCCCAAATGACTGTCATGAGGTGAAAAAATTCTCTTAAAATAAAGGAGACCAGAAAAGGTATATTTATAAACCTCTTAACAAACCCCTATCTGTTTGCAAAGTAGAACGTGTTCCTTAAGCTATAGATGCCCAAAGATTGGGAGAAATTTCATGACATAAACATTTTCTTAAATTCAAAGAATTGTTATTCTCACTCCTCCAAAAATGGTCTGTAAAAGTAATGAATACAGATTTTTTTTTAAATGGGGAGAGTTCTAAGGAGTGACGGGCTTATGCACTTTAATATTGTGCAGTTATGACATTAAAATTCTGCACTAAATGATGAATAGCTTATTTGCAGTTTGTAAAATGATACTTGACTGGGAGTGTTCTTGTGTCTAAGTTGTACAGATTCTTTCTGGCAGGGTCAGTAAGCCCAGCATCATAAAATGTGTTACACAATGGGAAAAAGACATTGGTCACACAGATAAAACCTCACGGGCACAGTGTTTGCCCCGCCCTTGTGAAGCTCCGTCCCTCGTTTGCCTTTCCTTACGAACAGAAGCACCGTTTTATTTGGAGCGGCAGTGCGCCCCGCCAGAATACCCAGGTTCACAGCCTCCCTGGCAGTTAGAGGCGGCCAAGTGATAGGGTTCTGGCCAGTAACATAGTGTTAGAAGGCCCTGGGGAGGGTATTGCTGGGAGATGGTTCTCCATGGTCTCTCTCATTTCTGTAAGCCTCTTGCAAACAGAGGCACTTACTAATAGTAACAGACTATCTTCCCAAGGATGTTTGAATAGCATACAACCTTGGAAGATAGAGATATTGTCCCTCCAGAGCAAAGGGAAGGCTTACTTAGATCCTCGGAAGACAAGGAGGATGTTTCACTCCAGAGCAAAGGGCAGGCCTGCCTACTTCCCATTGCGTAAGTTTTGGAGTCCCAGAGTTCAAGGTTCCTCTCCTGTGAGGCAGCCCACTGAGTGTGCAGGCATTCCTGTGGGCCTATCCGTACTGTCCCCATGGGACCTGAGGGCAAGGAGAATGGCCACAAATCATGCTGCTTGCTGTGTGCTGAGTCACAAGGGTGGCTGCCTCTGACCCTGGTGTCTCGTGACTCCTGCCATCAACCATGAAACTGTGGCAGACTAAGACCTTAGCTTGCAAACGGGATGAACTCTCAGGCCCTTCATTGTTCTTGGCTGGATAGAAAAAGAAAGGTAGGAGAAAGCTCTTGCCCCTAGGGGCTTCTCCTTTCTTCCTGCCTTGAGGTACAGCAACCGTTTAGGGACCACGAGGTGACAGTGCGAGGACAAAGGTCTACCTGCTAAGGATGGCAAAGCAGAAAGATGGCGAACCTGGGTCCCTGACAGAGAATTACAGTACCAACCCTGGTCTGCTTGATCTCAGGCTTCTTGTTATGTGAGATAAATGGGCCTCTGTTTAAGTCAAGGATAATTTTTTTTCCCAAGCAAATGCATCCCTAGAATTTGTATCAAACATAGTAATTACATAATAGTAATTGTGTCAAACACATGCAACTTAGGGCAAGTGTGTTGCTACCTTCCTTACTTCTTGATCCAGATTCTACCTCTCTGTATATTAACATTATTGTATGTATCTCTTATAAGCTAACTCACATTCCTTTGAAAAAATCATGTAAAAGTCAATTCACTAAGTACAGTTTGGTCCTGGGCCAAACTTATCCCTGAACTTTTATGAGTTATCCCTTAAGCGATTAGTCAAGAAGGCAGTAAAAATAATAGGACTGTCCCTTTCTAGAAACGTCTACCACATGTCACA